TCCTCATGGAGAGCCTATTTTTCCTTCCCTAGCTCTCTATCCCGCCACAAGCTCGGACCTTGACCCCTCAAGCCGACCGAGCTCCGCCACCCCGAAGAAAGAGAGCCCTCTGCATCCCCTCCTGCAAACCCAAGTTCAGCAAATCCAGACCAACCGCTGAAAGATGAACACTACCACGCCCCCCAATTTCCTCACGAAGCTTGCCATCAAGCTGTTAACTTTTCCCCTGCATCTATCGATGGCCACTGGGTCCCTCGCGTGTCGCCACCGACGCCTCGGAACGATCTCAGACCACACCAGCATCACCCCGGGAAGCAGATCGAACAACCTGTTCAGGTCCTGCTTCATCCATTTAACCAACCGCCGTTGCGGGATGAGGCCCAGGTCACAGAACTAGCATATCTGGCCTCGCCCCACCTGCTACCATCCGAATTATTGCCCCGCACACGTCGCCCCAGCCAAACCCCTTAAAGCCCAACCATCGCACTGTTAGGAGGTCTTTCGGGAAGCCCAGCTGTTGGCCCTGGGCTCGAGCTGCAGCTCTCCGTCCGGCCCAAACGATGAAGGAATGGCCCACAATCCATGCGACACAACCTGGGGAAGAAGGGAAACAACGTAAACACCCATACCCATACCGGGGCCCACCCCCCGACCGATACAGCCCGCATCACTGATCCAACAAACCCATGCGCACATACGTGCGGAACCGAGCGGATTCCCATCTCCCAATCCTTTTGACTAACTCGTCCCCCATGCCCAGACGCGCGGCCTCAGTGGCCGCCCCTATGCGAAAGGAATGCGTCCCGTAGGCAGCAGCACTCAACCCCAACGCCCCCAGACCCAATCGGAACACCTTAGTAAATTGGAAACGGGAGAGCGAGGAGCCATCGGCATGAACCAATAAAGACCCCCCGACTGCCGGTCTCAGTTCCAAGAACCGAGCCACAGCCGCAACCGGGCACAGTGATGACCCAGGCAGGGGACCCAGCGTCACATCCCGGCCTTTTCCCATGACGTCCGTTTTGGATGTAGCCAGGTATACCACCAGGTTCCCAGCGATCATGCGAACACCGGATAACTGCAGACCCCCCGACCCCGACCGCGTGGCGCTCACCAATTCCCCTATCCGGAATGCACCAAAGAAGGCCAAGAGAAAGGCTGTCCTGAACAGGGCTACCTCAAACCCGTCAAAGCAGATTCCGGGAAGCACGTGGAGTAAATTCCCAAGCACCCGAACCGAGACCGGACGCCTGGCATCCGGTACCCTCCGGCCCCTCCGATACCCCTTGAGAGCCTGCCTAATGACGAACGCTTTCGTGAGGTCCTCCCACCCGTGGAATTTGAACCAAAAGGCCATCGCCGCCATGGTCCTATCAACCATTGCTGGGGACACACCTTTTGCCAGCAATTGGAAAGTGAACCACAGGAAGGCGTCCTGCGACGATTCCACCTGTGGCCCCTGGCCCAGCCCCTCCCAGGAACGTTCCCAGGCACCCCAAACCTTACTGTATGCGGTCCATGTGGCAGGTGCCAGCGAAGCCCTCACAAGTCCCCCAAGCATGATGCTCCGAGCTGCCACATCTCGTCCGGGCACGCCTGCCCGGTCTCCTGAGCCTCCGGAGCCGCCAACCGAAACCGGGACCACTGAAAACGAGACAGAGCATCAGCCACCTCGTTCAAATACCCGGGCACGTGACGCGCGCGAAAAACTACATTAAGGGACATGCAAAGCAAAACAAAACGTCGCAATAGTGTCACCACCGGTTTGGATGCTGCCGACTGGTTATTGACGGCATGCACCACCGACATATTGTCAGAGAAGAAGACTACTTTGCGGTCCCGGAGACAATCCCCCCACAGGGCCAATGCCACTACCAACGGGAACAGCTCCAGAAAAGCCAAGTTCCGTATGAGGGGGCTTCGCCCCCACGCCTCCGGCCACTTCTGAGCACACCATCTCCCCCTGAAGTAGGCCCCGAAACCCACGCTACCCGATGCGTCGGTGAACAGCTCCAATTCGGCCGTAGACACACCCTCCTGACGGAAGAACACCGTCCCATTAAAGTCTTGCAAAAATACCTTCCAGACGTCCAGGTCAGCCCTCATTGAGGAAGAGACCCGAACGAAATGGTGTGGAGAACCGACCCCCGCCGTGGCTGCCGACAGGCTGCGGCTAAACACCCTACCCATGGGTATCACCCTGCAGGCAAAGTTGAGCATCCCGATCAACGATTGTAGCTGCCGCAGGGTCACCTTACGCGCCCGCTGCACCGCGGCCACCGCACTGCGCAGTCCGCACAACTTAGTCAGAGGCAGCCGACATTCCCCACGCACCGAATCTATTTCTAAACCCAGAAAGCTGAGACACACGGTCGGGCCCTCAGTCTTGTCCGCCGCCAACGGCACCCCAAAGTGGCCTGCCACCCACTCCACTGTCCGCAACAGGTGCCGGCAGGCGGGAGAACCCGCCGGCCCTACGCAGAGAAAGTCATCTAAATAATGCACCACCGCGTCGTTCCCCGACTCCATCCGCACCACCCATTCGAGAAAGGTACTGAACTTCTCAAAATAGGAGCACGAAATGGAGCAGCCCATCGGGAGACATAAGTCGACGAAGAAGCCCCCCTCGAAGAAGCACCCCAGCAGGTGGTGACAAGCCGGATGAACCGGAAGCAGCCGAAAAGCAGCTTCAATATCCACCTTGGCCAGTAAAGCCCCACGCCCGGCCCTCTTAACCAGCTCGACCGCCTGGTCGAATGATGCATAAGAGACCGAGCACAATTCCCCATCGATATCGTCATTCACCGACGCTCCCCTAGGATAGGACAGGTGATGAATGAGCCGAAACTTCCCGATCTCTTTCTTGGGAACAACCCCTAATGGTGACACCCTAAGGCCCTCAATCGGCGGCGCTGAGAATGGACCTGCCATCCTGCCCAACCGCACCTCCTTACTAAGCTTCTCCCGGACCACATCCGGAAATTCCCTTACCGATTTCAGATTACGCGTACACAACGAACCCTCCCTCGCTCGGAAGGGGATGAAAAACCCCTGTCCAAACCCCGACCTAAGCAGTTCTGCGTCCCCTGCCATTACCGTAGCGGCTTAGCCAGGGTTCCATCGCGTCGAGCCTCACCGGGGTTCGGCCCCGGGGCAGCAGCTGTCCCACTGCCCCCGGGCGCTGGAGGAGCTCCGGCTCCGCCCGACTTACCTTTCTTATAGCATCTCTGGAGCCCATGAGTCCCACCGCAGCCCGCGCATTCATGCTTGAAGCGGCAGGCCGCCCCCCACTTGCACTGACCTTCGTTGAACGACCAGCATAAGCCCTTCTGCAAGGCGGCCGACGAGGCGGACTGTCCCTTTGCGCCAGCCGCGTGCTGAAAGGGCTGTGCCTTCTGCGCCATCATCAGCTTCATCCACAGGGGCAGGTCCATTTGGTCCCACCTCATCCCAGGATTGGCCGCCAAGCGTTGCCGGAACTGCTCGTCGTACCGCCACCAGGCCAGCCCGCCATAGGTGCGATACGCTTCCCAGATCCCATCTAAGTAACAGAATAGGGAAGAGCAAGAACTCGGCGATTTCTCCCCTATCACACTGGCTAGGACGCAGAAGGCCCTCAGCCAGTTCCCAAAGGACTTCGGTATCTTTCGATACCGCTTCCGTTTTTCCTCCTCCTCCTTCTTTTCGTCCTTCTTATCCTCCTCCTTGAGGTCAATGAAGTCCTCCAGAGGAAGAAGGGAGAATATCTCACAGAACTCCCCCTTCCAAATTTTTTCTTTCGCCTCCTGCTTGAGGTGCACCCCCAGCGGGCCCGCAAATGACACGTAAGCATGCTGCCTGGCCGCGTCCGACACTCCTCCCGACAATTCCGCCCGTTCGCACCCCACCTCCCCCGGGCTGGACTCTACACCCGCCTCCCCGCTGGGCGCGGCTACCACGGGAGTCCCGCTAGCACGCCCCACCTCGCCGGACCCTCGCGTCCAAACCTGACCTACATCGCCCGAAGTGCCACCCCCCGCCCCCAATGAGTGGAGCAGTGACTGAAGTGTTTGAACTAGTGTATTGGACCCAAGGGGGCCTCTGGACTCACCGGCCAAGCCCCTCGATCCGTCCGTACCCGGGGCTGCATTGTCAACCGCTGCGTGACCTGGATGCGCAACATCCGCCGACGTCCCGCCAACCAGGGAGCCCACCTGGTGCCTCGATAACGTGGAAGACGAACGGCTCGGAGACCTGAAATGAGGAGAAGACATCCTGGGCAGGGGGTAGTGCTCTCCGGCTCCCCTCCCGTCCCGACCCAGGGAGCGCCTGCCTGCTACCAAGGCCTCCCGCCGTGCACCACTCTCCCGCTGCCCCCCGTGAGCCCGTTCCCCCCCGCCCCGGGGACTCCGACTCCTACCCTCAGCCCTCGCCGCCCTCTCCTGCCGCCCCCGCCCTAATGACCCTGACCTGGCCTCTACCGAACTTCCCGAGGGAGAACGCCTGCGCCGGGCCCCCCTTTTTTCCCGCGCCCTGAGGGACCTCACGTCCCTCACAGGTGAAGAACCAACGCTGCTAGAGTCCGACCCGGAGCTGTCACCAGACCCCCCACCTTCCGACCCACTAGACACGGCCTCTGGACCCGCATAGCCCCCCCCAGCCCCAGCGCCTCCCCGCCTCTGGAAGTGGCCCCCTGACACCCCCCGCCCCCTACGCTTCACCGCCCTCTTACCAACCCCCCCCTTTCCAACTACCGCCCCTACCTCCCTCACCCGACCCGCTGACCCCCCAGGCACCCCCAGGGACCCCCCCTGTGCCCCCAGCAGCCCTACCACAGAGCCCCCCCCACTCCCTCCCTCACTAGGGCCCTGAGAGCTCCCCTGGGTCCCCCCAGAAGGTCCCCCCCCAGCCACCTGAGCTCCACTCCCCCCCCCTCTCGCCCCAGGCACACTACCCCCAGGCTGCACCCCCAGGTTGGGCCCCACGCCAAGGGAACCCCCAAGGGGGCCCCCTGCACTTGCCTGCTCCGTTCTGGGCCTGGTCCGCGCCTTCCTGGCCCGCTCTCCACCGTCCGCCGCTCCCACCTCCTGTACAACTCGCCCGGCCCGCCTGCTCGATTCCCGGCAGGGCCGCCGCATCACCGGTGCGTCCGCCGGGCCCGGCGCCGCCCCAACCCGTCCAGGGGGCGCGCCGTCTGATGCCAGGGCCGCAGCCCGTCGGGAGCCGGCCTGCCGAGGCCCTGGCCGGCCGCCGGGAGGCGATGCCTCGACCGCGCGGCCTCCAGGCCTGCCGCGGCCTTCCTCCCCAGCCGCCGGATCGCCAAGGGAAGGAGTCACGGGCCCCGCGCCCGGGCTCAAGCGCCGTGGTGGCCTCCTGGCCCGCGCCGGGCGACCGCCGCCGCCATCTGCCGCTGCTAACAGGGGGCCCAGATGCATCTTCGCCCAGCCTGGGCCCTGTTGCCGCGCCGCCGTCCGGATCCCATCCAGGAGCCGCTCCACCTCTTCCATGGCCCTGCAGAGGAGACAAAAAGAAAAGCCTACCTAGCAGGTCAGTGAACCAAGAGGCCACACAAACACAGCTAGGTAGAAATTAATGTGCACATTTTTTAAAATGGCTGCCTAATAAATAGCCAGCCCCCATCCCATAATCCCACAGTCCTGCTTGGTCCCTCCTATGCCCGCCTCCTAACCCCTGTCAAGGCCCTTTTCCGCTAAGCTGCGCTCTGGCTACATGGGGCTACATTACCTTTACAGAGCAGAATTTTTTAAAGTTACAGTGTGTTATTTTCATAATTATGCATTGTTTGATTTTAATCCCAGGTGGGGTTTATATACAAGGAAAGGGATTATAGCTAATGATAGTTATTTGAAATATCAAATGAGAGATTTTATTTTTTACCTCCTATAAACATTTATTTCTTTTATTTTTTTTTTAAGTGCACTCCTGATTCCCCTAACTAAAAAACTAGCAAATTTGAAAATAGTGAAAAATAGTGTGGAAAATGAATGTGCGAAGAGTATGTGAAAGACAGGAGGTAAGGGAAGATGGGAATAAAAATATAATTTCTGCCTTGGTTTTGCTGCAAATGCAGTTGGCCGCCTCCCTAGCCTATAAACACACGTATGTTCAATTTGGACATTGTAAGAAACCTCTTTTTTTCTTTTATACAGGGATGCATGTGCATCTAACACACATTACACCAACACAGGATCCGCCCTGGGTGCTAAATGCTCTAGGCACACCCCTGCCAACAAATAACCACAACAGATACATTGAATACATGAGTATGCATTACAATTTTTATATACATCAAAAGCATACATGTTTTTTGCACATGCATTGTATATTTTAGAAGGAAGCATCACATATGTTACACACAAGGTAAAGGGTGCGTAAATATTTGCTAAACCAAGAAAAAATGGTTTGACAGGGTGCTCCTGGCACCATGATCAACTCAGCTAGCTTTAGTGGATATAATGCTCGGAGTGTTTCTTTAATTTAGGTTGACAAATAAACATTCACCCCGTCCCTTTTCTAATTATCCTTCCTAGACAATAAATAGTTGTTTAAATGAACTGCAGAGTTATGTGTTTCATCCAACCATGTTTCATTAATATTAAACTTGTCATATTGTTTACCAATGACCCTAGCTCGATAATTTTATCATCCAAGCTTCTTGTATTAGCAAGCAGACATGTAATGTTAGCATCATCCTTTTGTAATGTATTTACATTTTTATAATATAAAATACAGAAACCTCTTCTATGATTATTACACCATTCCCCAATCCCCACAACCATAACCCCTTTGGCCTTAGCTAATTCCCTAGCTATCGTTGTTCTATCTACATTTTGTAACATTTAATGCCTCCCCATTCCTAGTTTAAAATCAACCCCAACCATCTAATCATTCTATTCCCACCTCAGTAAACCCTTTTTTCATTTAGAGGCAGTCATCACAGCTATAAATATTGTACCCAAGTCCAAAATCAGTCCAGCCACACATTAACCTCCAGTCTCCTACTGCATTCCCACTGTAGCATGTGGCATGGTTAGAGGTTGTCTTCTTCAGTTTATTTCCTAATTCATTTGACTCTTTCATGAGAATACTCCAGCTTAATCTGGTTTAATCATTTGTACTAACATGGCCATGACAACTGAGTTATCTCCAGCTTCTCCCAACAATCTTTTCACTTTGTCAGCACCAAAGGCCTTTACTGTATTGATTATCCAGTACATACATACTGGAATGTACATATTATTGCCCAATGGAATGTGCAAATTTTTTCGGTTAGGAAACTAACCACTGAGTTAGCAGAATTCCTTCATAGTATTCTGAGAAGAAAGGAAATGAGGCCTCCTGACATGTCGGTACACTGTATAGATGGAAATGTTGAATGTCAAAACCTACCAAGATTATTTTTTAAACTAAAGCCAGATAACCCATTGCGCAAAACCTCAATCAATATATAGTTATTGTGGATTTTTGTTATTTCTTTAAATATGCAAACTATTATTCTAAAACAAAAAATAACCACAAAGTTCTTGTCAACATATATATTTTCCAATAGGATTCACACTTCTTTAGCAGACGTTGTTTTTGGAGACATCCTGGATTATATAATGTCTCATAATTTATCTAAATTCATGAAATGTTCTTGTCAGCACCAAGGTTAATGGCCATAATATTGATTTTTAGCACATTTCCAGTAAGATCTGTCTGGAAATGTTTTTTGCCAATAAAAATCTGTACGCATTTATTAACCAGCTATATTAACACTATAACAAATACAAGCCATTTATTTTTTAAGCATCAAGATATTCAATGCTGAGAGGAACTTAAGCATGGAGTCAGCATGGAGCAGCACAGCTAGGTGGACTGGGCCTTGACAGGGCTACGAGACAGGCATAGGATATGTTAATATGGGGGGTTTGGCTATAGAAAGTGGGGGGGGTTTAGGTTATGGGAGTACATATAGCGGCCATTTTAGATCAAGGGCCATCTTAATTAAACCTCACTTACCTGTTTTGTGGCAGGTCTGTGTGGTGTATCTTTTTTCTGTCTTTCAGGTGCTGCTGTCTTGAAGAATGGAAGATTGGCCGGTTGGTGTGCATGCTGCTGCCCACTGCGACGGACGAGATGAGCCCTGGGGAGGGATCTGCTGGGGTTCGGAGGGCGAGCCCATCGCTGCCAACTAGGCCGGAGGCTGTGAACTAGTCAACTAGTAATCCTGACATTACAACAGGGCCATACATGCTGTAGAATCATGTCAGCACATAGCTGCTTGTGAGAGAAAGCTAGAGGAAAATGGATGAATTTGCCCAGGCTTTCAGTACGCTTCTTACTCGAACAGCGCATCTACAGCCTGCGGCTTCTCTTAATATGTCACCTCCTCCTAGTTTTCCTCCATCTATAGTACATAAGGCACCTACTATCTCCCTATCTCCTCCCCTGCATTTTGATGGTAAGATTCAAGAATGCCAGGGATTCTTGAATCAAATTGAATACACTTTGAGGCCCCACCGGGATCTTTTCCCTCAGATAGAACTAAGATTGGTTATCTAATGAACTAACTTAAAGGTAAAGCCTTAGCTTGGGCCAATCCTTAATGGGAGAGTAATAGGAGTATTGCACACAATTACCAGGAATTAATTGCGGAATTCAAATTAACATTTGAACCATTAGGCAGGGAGGATGACGCCTCCACTACCCTAATGCATATCAAAAAAGGGAACCGGTCTAACTCGGATTATGCCATAGAATTTTGCACCTTGGCTTCTGAGGTAGACTGGACTAATATCAGGTTAATCTCTGCATTTGAAAAAGGATTATCCGAGACAATTCTAGATGAGATTGCTGCCAAAGAACTACCTAAAAAATTTAATGAGTTTATTACATTTGTTATGCTAACTGATAATAGACTCAGAACCAGAAACAGAACCAGACGTATGGCTATGCCATTAGCACCTCAATTCTCCAAACCTATTGTGCTTGACCTCCCAGTACAGTCCAAATCTATGCAGTTAGGGGTCACTAGACTGTCTGAGGCAGAAAAACAATATAGGAGAAGAGAGGGTCTATGCCTATACTGTGGTAAAAAAGGACATATGAGGAGTACTTGTCATATACGTCCGCACCTAAGAACCTTAAGAGGACAGGTCTTAGATGTGATGGATACGTCTTCTGGAAATAACTGAAGTAGGTTTCTCCTTGATTTTATGATCATGTGTAACGAAAATAACTTTTCATGCAAAGCCCTGATGGATTCAGATGCGGCTGGAAATTTCATTGACCTACATTTTGTTAGAAAACACTTAATACCTAGCAAGGAGAGATCATCACCTCTGGTCGTGGAGGCTATTGACGGGAGACCCCTATCTCAGACCTTAATTACCCACAAATTATTACCCACATAATTGCTTCCCCTTCTTGTCCCATCATATTGGGATTTCTTGTTGAGCACAATCCTCATATTGACTGGGCAAAGGGAGAAATTATGGAAGGGGGCAAGGACTGTATTGGGAGATGTATGTTGCACATAACCAAAAAAGTGGGCATTGGTACCTTGCCCATTAATACACCTCAAGCCCCCGAAGTTCCTATACAATACTGGGAGGTTAAAGAAGTATTTAGTAAGAGTCAGACCAACGTTTTACCTCCTCAGAGGCTACATGACTGTTCCATAAATCTGCTACCCAGCGCTATGCCATCTAAAGGAGTAGTATATGCCTCATCACCTAGAATAACGGAAGAATATATCAAAGACTCCCTAAATAAGGGCCACATATGTAAATCATCCTCACTTGCTGGTGCAGGCTTCTTTTTTGTAGAAAAGAAAAATAAAGAGTTACATCCATGCATCTACTACAGAGCATTAAACAAGATTACCATTAAGAATACCTATTCCATTCCCCTCATTTCTGAATTGTGTGACAGACTCCAGGGTGTTAAGATCTTTACTAAACTTGACCTCAACTTACCATACAATTTGTTAAGAATTAAGGAAAATCATGAGTGGAAGATGGAATTTAATACCATAATAGATTTGGGCACTATGAGTACCTTGTTATGCCCTTCGGGCTATGCAATGGCCCAGCCATATTCCAGGACTTTATCAATGATGTACTCAGAGACTATATCTACTCATATGTCCTGGTTTACCTGGACGATATCCTCCTTTTTTCCCCTGACCCTCAAAAATGTCAAACAGGTCTTGCAGACTTTACTGGAAAATAAACTTTATTGCAAACTGGAAAAATGCTTGTTTGATCAGACTGAACTACAGTTTTTGGGGTATATCATTTCTGCCTCTGGTTTTCAGATGGACTCTAAGAAACTAGAGGCTGTTATACATTGGCCATTGCCTAGCGGACTAAAGGCCACCAAGAGGTTTATTGGGTTTGCAAACTATTACAGAAGATTTATCAAGGGGTTCTCTTCTATAATAGCCCCCATCACCAATATGACATGTAAGAGGGTTAGCTGTACGGTATGGTCTAAGGAAGCTAGAG